CATTCTAATTCCTGGAACCTGTGAATATGTTCCCTTATAAGGCCAATAGGACTGTGGAGATGTGATTAAATTAAGGATCTTGAGATGAAGAGAATATCTTAGATTATCTATGTGGGACAAGGCTCAAAGAAAGTTGGTGTCAGAGTGAAGGGATATGAGAAAGACTTGAATAAAGATCAACTTTGTCAGTGAGAGGACATTATGACACGAATATATAAATTCTTAACAATAGTAATTTATAAACTCAATGCAATATGGATAAAGACCCACCAACATATGTGTATGTATGTGGGGGTGTTACATGTTTTATATCCAAAAATGTTGAGTCCCCCATACTAGAGTTAAATGCATAGTAGTTACACCTAGATGAAATTTAGTTTGAGTATGTCATTGGGTTTCCCATTGCCTTCCTAGGCTCAGGGTGGGGCAGTTTCCAGGGGAATTCAGACCCACTGTAAGATGCCTACTGGTTGTCAGAAACCCATCATTTACCCCTATTCTGTTTAATAGATTTCCATCCACAAAAACAAGTGACCGTAGGCTCTGGCAGCAACTCAGGGGATTCTAAAGTTGTTCCTATGAGAAAAGAGGTTTCTGACTGTGGATATGATGGCTGCCTACTTGCATTCCCCCTGTAGATGCTCTTGTAAAAATGGCTTCCTTTTTATTATGGAATACTTACGAGCACTGCATCTCATATTACAGCGTTTCTTCAACATTGTCCAAAACATTATCAGAATTTCATGTCTCAATATTATTTTATGTCCTTCAGTCCCAGGGGCCATCTTAATGAACACCCAGTAGCAAGCTAGTAACTGTATCTCAGATGGTATATATCATGCCCCAGCATCCAAAAATTTTCTGGTCCCAAATCTTAGTGGTCACCATTAGGTGGCACTCAAAGGCTTTTGCCATTAATTCCAATTTGCATTACTATGCATTGCAGCCATTTCCAAAATCATTTCTGAATGGATCACAGGGTTTCAAAGACAGACAGACAGAGATTGAGAGACACTACTTTTTATAAACGAGAAATGACCTGTCTTTCTTAGGTCCTAATTCAAATATGGACTCCTTTTGGAAATAGTTTCATGGCTAAGAGTTAGCAATATTCCCAGATGTAGAATATGCATCTTTTCCAATCCAAATAGACCAGTCAAACATTGGACTTCTTGTTTAGTTCTAGGGGTAGGTAAGGATATCAGTTTCTTTTTAGTCACCCATGAATCATCATGGGTGGCTTCTGCCCAGAATATTCCTAACAATTTCACCATTTGGGTAAGTCCCTAGATCTTTTGGATTTAACGAGTCTCTTGGTACCACTAATGCATTTAGGTCAGTTCTACCTAGCTTATTCTTCAGTTTCTGAAATTCTTATATCATCAATATAGCGTATTATTACACCCAGGACCTATATTAAAGCCAAATCCCTTCTAACCAAATTGAGACAGCAAACTGGTGAATTCAAGTAATTGTGGCAATGGAGCAAACGTAAACTATGATCCTTCTTACATGAAGCTAAACTGTAGTTAGCTCTTTTCTGAGATAAGGCTGAGAAAAGAAACATTTGCACAATCAGTGAGGACCAGTCTCCTTTAGCCTGCTGAAATTCTTGCACTGTTGGAATCATGTGAGGGACGGCTGATGCTATGGGTGGCATTGCTTTATTTAAGCTTCAGTAGTCTGTTGTTAGTCTCCATGAGCCATCTACTTTTTTTCATGAGTCATACAGGGCTATTGCACAGAGAATTTGTTGGTACCAGCATGCCAGCTTTACACATGTCACCAGGAGAGTCTATGCTGCTTCATTCTTCACCCTGATTAATTTAGCAGACTATGGTCCCAGGGTCCCTGGTGATTCAAGGTAAGGTCAGGTTTCTCATCGTCATCTTTATTTTCTAGCTGGTGGGTTGAGTTTAATGAACTCTTCTTCCAAACATAAAGTCCACAACGGCCCCAGTGTGGCTCATGGCCACTTAGCCTCATCGCCTTTCCACCTTTCTCCACCGTGTTCAAGTTAGAAACAGACTGGATTTTACTAAACTCCGCACCAACAAATCCTGCCCCTACCACCCACATCTTTTTCCTCCTTCCATTAGAAGATGACCTGTAATGGCAGCTGCCCCTCAGTGCCACCACATTTCTTTCTGCATGTTTGCTTCCTGTAGGGTTGGATTTCCCACACATGGAAGGATAAAATTCAGCTTTGTTAGCCTTAAAGATAAAAACTGGTTATTTTACAACAAAAGATGGGTTTATTTGAGAATAAAAGAGAATTGCAATCTGGGACAAACAAGCTACTGCAAAACCCTAAGCAAGAATGGGGAACAAAAGAGAGATGCTTTTTTTTTTTTTTTTTAAGATATGCTTTATAAGGAGAAAAGGGTTAAGTTGGGAAGGCCATGACAAACTAACAGCCCACTGGTGTCAACTGGGAGTTCAAAGTATGGCAGCTTTTCATTGGCTGAGCTGTTGCCCAGGTTGGGGGGATTAGAGTAGTAGAGTGGTATCCAAGTGCAAGGTCAAGTCCCTCTTTTCCTATTGGGTCTGCAATTGATCAGGAAGGCTAGGGCATGAGAGCTCCCCCCTGCCAAAAGTTCCTAAGTCCATTTTAGTGAGGTTTCTCGTTATTGATTTTCACAGCATCTAAACAAAGCACAGCTTTGGCTGTTCTCTAATGGATAAGATTTCTGCTAGCCAAATAGATGTTGTCACCTAGTCTTAAAGGCCACAGTATGTTCCTTCTCAAATTTCTGTCAGTCTGCTACAGTAGTAGGCAGACCCTTTATCGCCTCACTCTGTTTGGGGACCTCCAGGAAACACCTTACATCATTAGTTCCATCAACTGATGAGTTGGTTGGTAATGGAATAATTGACCACCCACCCCATCCCACAGGCACTAAGTGTCTGTGAACACCCTGGGTGGGGGTACCAACTGCAGGTATTGGGACACAAGGATGGCCCAAAGTGGGAAGAGCCTGTCTGGCTTGTGCTTGTTTTCACTGTTAGAAGAACTTCTGCGGGCTTGTTTCTCATATTCAGCTTTTATTCCCTGTCATGCCCCCTGACAAGCTCTACACACTTGAGGGTGACACCCACCTCTCCATTCTTTGTTGGCCAAAGTTGTCACTAGGACCCAGGCCAGGAGTATGTTTTCCACCCTCTCTTCACACCTGGAAGTGACAAAAAAGGAAGAGAAGAGGAGCAAAGGAGAGCAGAGAACACAGAAGGGGTGGAGGTGGGGAAAAGAAGAGGAGGGAAGGAGAAGGCAGACAGGGTGGAGAGTGGCTGGGAAGGTGAGTGGCACATCAGCTAGTGTGCTCCACTGGCCCAGTTTGCCCAGGACTTTCCCAGTTTTAGGACGAAAAGTCCTGTTTCTCAGGAACCTGGTCAGGCCAGGGAAAAGCAGGACAGCTGGTTGCCTGAGCTGCGGCAATTACGGGAGAGCCTGTGTGACCCAACAGAATCTGGCAGAAGTAACCGTCTGTCATTTCTGAGGTTAGGTTATGAAAGATAATGGATTCCCCCTGAGATTCCCTCTTTCCTTCCTGAACCACTTGCCCTGGGGGAAGCCAGCTGCCCTGTTGTAAACATGTCCAAGGAGAGGCTTCGTCCCGACGATCACCTGAGTGATCACATTCCAGTTTCCATCGCTTGCAAGACACACGTCTCCACCTGCTCGCACCGAAAGATTTTGAATTTAGCCATTCTCAACTTTTTGAGCATACCTCCGCTTCTAATACAAGCGGCCCTCATAACTCCCTTTTACTTTAGATTTATAAACATTAACTTAGAACAGGCAGGAAGCAGCTCTCCTCCACAGCGATCAAAAAAAGGCTGAGAAACAAGCACGGCGGGGCGGGACTAACAGACCCACGAGCTCGCCCCGCCCCCACGCGCGCTGCCTGCCCAATCTCAACCATTCTTCGCGGCCCTGCCCGAGTCCCGCCCCCTGCACCCTCCTTTCCCGTCTGCGCGTGTGCAGTCGCCGGCCGACCCGGAAGTGAATTGAGCTGAGTGACAGAAACGTTCGGGGGAGTGAAATTTCGGACGTCCAGTTTCAAACCCGTGCTTGGCGCGCCCGCAGCCTCCAGTCTTCCACGCCGGGGTTCTCTGGAGGTTACAACTGCGGTCGTCGCCTTCCTGCCCACGACGAGTCCCGGCGTCGCCGTGAGTCGTTCCGAGGCCTGGTGGCGCCGGGTCGCGGCGTCGGCGTCCGCGGCCGCTTCTAGCCCCTCGATTCGTGGAGACCGCGGCTTCGGCGGCTTCACTGCCCTCCGGGTCCTCCGTCCCGGATCCGGGAAGGTCGGGGCTGTGTTCTGTGCGGCGTTTGCTGGGGGCCGCTGCAGCCGGGCAGTGAGCTGGGGGGGGAAAGCGGAGAAAGCGCCCCACTGGCTGGTCTCGGTGTGCGCCAGCCCCTCCTGGGGCGGTGGGCGGCAGAGGAGTGCCTTTTTGCTGGTTGAGGTCCTCCCTCTGCGTGCGGTTGTGCCACAGGAAGGGGGTATGTGCCTTCTAGGCATTAGGCAGCCTGGGTTCGGCGCTCACCGTCCCTTTGTCAAGACGGATCTTATCCGAGAATTAGGTCCAGAAGAGGGGGCAAAAATGACGCGTTCCCAGGTAAAATTCACATTCTCTCTTTTTTTTAAAAAATATTTAATTTATTTGACACAGAGAGACACGGCGAGAGAGGGAACACAAGCAGGGGGAGCGGGAGAGGGAGAGGCCGGCTCCCCGCGGAGCAGGGAGCCCCATGCGGGGCTCGATCCCAGGACCCCGGGACCCTGACCTGAGCCGAAGGCAGACGCTGAACGACTGAGCCACCCAGGCGCCCCTAAAATTCACATTCTTGGTTGTTCCTTCTCTCTTTCCTGAAATGCTGGGGGGTTTTTTGGACTTGGTAATGTGCTCTCAAGCTCTCAAGGGTCCTGCCTAACGTTCGTTTGCTAGAACTCACCCCGGCCTTGCCTCGGTGCCTGTCATCTCCACTTACATCCCGTCTCACCATGACCCAGAGACGTGGAACCTGTGAAGAGGCCCTGTTGGGGGATTATCATGGGCAGGGTTTCATACGCAGGTGTGAATCAGAAACTGGGAGTGGGACTTTGGTGTCACTGCGGCTGGCCAAGGGGATTGTTTTAGGAGTTGCATATGAACGCATTGTCAGTTCCTTGTAGAGCTGCGTAAAGAAGAACTGCGTTAAGAAAAACAGCGTTAAGCGAAATAAGTCACGCAGAGAAAGACAAATATCGTATGGTTTCACTCATGTGTGGAATTTAAGAAACAAAACAGATGAACATATGGGAAGGGGAAAAACAGAGAGAGAAGGAAACAAACCATAAAAGACTTTTAATGATAGAAAACAAACTTAGGGGTGATGGAGGGAGGTAGGTGGGTGATGGGTATTTAGGAGGGCTCTTGTCCTGTTGAGCACTGGGTGTTACATGTAAGCGGTGAATCACTAAATTCTCCTGAAAACAATATTACACTACATGTAAACTCACTAGAACTTAAATACAAATTTGAAAAAGAAGGAAAAAAAAACTGCACATTAATGTGCTATATTAATGTGCAGGAACAGCTGGAAAATGAGACTAAGAAAGGGAAACCTATTGTTCCTGATTTTACAAGGCATTTGAAGCTAAACAAGTGAATCAGCATGTTTCTGGCTCTAAAATATTAATGATTTGGATTACAATGGAAAGTTCTGAAACATATCAACGATAAAGGATGTTTTATTGTATAATTTGTTTTAACAGTATGTTCTTTAATATCACTCACAGCATATCCATCCCATGAGGACCCTTGTTCATTCAGGGACTTTTGTGTAGCAGGTGTTTTACCTAAAAATGTTTCAGCTATTATATTGGAGCAAAAAATTAGTCTTTGTCATCAGAGTGGATGGAGCCAAATTCTGTTAACACCAATTGTTACTAAAATATTACATTTTTTAAATTTTTATTTTATTTTTATTTTTTTTTTTAATTTTAAGGATTTTATTTATTTGACAGAGAGAGACACAGCGAGAGAGGGAACACAAGCAGGGGGAGTGGGAGAGGGAGAAGCAGGCCTCCCCCTGAGCAGGGAGCCCAATGCGGGGCTCGATCCCAGGACCCTGGGATCATGACCTGAGCCGAAGGCAGACGCTTAATGACTGAGCCACCCAGGCGCCCCTGATTTAAACATTACATACCATGTATCTTTGTTTTGAGGTAAAACTCCACAGTGTTGCACATATTGGACTAAGAAGTAAAACATCTCCTTCCCTGTCATGCCCCCCATCATCACTCACCACTTTTGTAATCACTATTGTCTGTTCTATGGAAGATGAAGTGTATGTCTTATAAAAATGTATTTACCTATCATTAGCAGATTTTAGTTAAAATTCTTCAGTGAAGGGGCACCTGGGTGGCTCAGTCGGTTAAGCGACTGCCTTCGGCTCAGGCCATGGTCCCAGGGTCCTGGGATCGAGCCCCGCATCGGGCTCCCTGCTCCGTGGGAGGCCCGCATCTCCCTCTCCCACTCCCCCTGCTTGTGTTCCCTTTCTCGCTGTCTCTCTCTCTCTAATAAATAAAATCTTTAAAAAAAAAAAAAAAACTCTTCAGTGAATGTTATATTGTGATGTTTTATTCTATACACATACCTTGGAGTTGTTTTCGTGCTAATACACATAGAGATAGCTTGTTCTTTTAGATCCTCATTAAAACATTCTCTGGATGAAGACACATGGATCCCACGTGATTCACAATGTCCAGACATTGTGTGCAGTGATGAATAGCAGGAGTCCTGGCCATCATCCCTTGTGTCAGCCTCAGTTTTAGTGGAAATGCTTCTGTTGTTTACTGTCAATCATGATGTTTACTGGAATTTCCTTACTTGATGCCTCTAATTTTTTTTTAGCATGATTTTTAGTTATTCAATAATTTCTTAAAAGAGCTAATGCTTTCATAATTTTTTTCTATTTTAATTTATTAAATGTAGAATATTAATAAATTTTATAATCTTCAAGCATTGTTTTATTATTGGATAAACTCCACTTGGCTTATGTTTAAATGGGCATTTAAATGGGCAAAATTTTGATATTTACATATAGGTATTTAGTGGAAAAGGTAAAGTTTTCTATTTTCATTTTTGTATTTTTTTAACTAGGCTAGTACAGAGTAATGTTGACAACAACCTAATTAAAAATAAGTACAATTTCAGGGGCGCCTGGGTGGCTCAGTCATTAAGCCTCTGCCTTCGGCTCAGGTCATGATCCCAGGGTCCTGGGATCGAGCCCCGCGTCGGGCTCCCTGCTCCGCGGGAAGCCTGTTTCTCCCTCTCCCACTCCCCCTGCTTGTGTTCCCTCTCTTACTGTGTCTCTCTCTGTCAAATAAATAAATAAAATCTTTAAAGAAAAAAAAGTACAATTTCTAAATGTCCATTTTACCAAAAATACTGAAATACACGAGTAAAAAAAAAATTTAAAAAAACTCATCCCAAAAATCTGTCTGCAAGGACTACTTTTACTGAAATTGTGTTTATGTGTGTGTGGGTGTATGCGAGTAGAAACCTCTGGTGTATATAAAAGATGCATTGTTTCATAAATAACTTTTATATTTATTTTAAGCTTTGAAAATTATTCCTAGGAATTTTTCGTGGCCTTAAATTTTTTTCTCTACTAACTCATTAGTGAATTAATAGTGGTAACAGTAATAACATACTGCATATGTGCATAGATAATGACATTTTCTGCAGGTCCCTGTTTTTAGCTTTGAATTTGTTTCATGTTTTCTCACTTAGGAAGCCCGCTAAAAGTAGAGAACTACTTTTAACACTGTATCTGTTACTTAACTGTGTGATTCTTCAGATTCAATTCTAAATTCAGAACACCTGGTTAAGGTGCCGGCTCTGCCCTTTCTTAGTTATCTGACCCGAGGCTAGTTTCTTAGAGTCTCTGTGACAATTGCCTCCTCTATAAGGTGGACACAGATATTTCTCTAATATTATTACACAAAATAATACCCATTTGAGTAATGTTTAGCACATCATAAATGTTTAAAAACTTTTTGTTTCTGCCATTATAATCATCATCACATTCTTACATTTTATGCTTTCTTAAAAGGCACTGTCAACTTTGTAATCTTTAAAGACACTACTCATAGTGTAGCTCATCAGAGAAATAATTGGTGTGTAAAATGTATTATCTAGCATGTCTATATAGTCCATCTTGTGATGCATTTTTTATTTATATATTTTGTTCACAAAATTGTGGAACGCACAGTGATTTTGTGGATTTATGTATTCTGGTTGAGAAGTATAATAACACAAAATTAGGGATATATGATTTGCTCAAAATTATCTTATACTGATTTGTCACCACAGCCAAATCAATCCTTAACACCTCTCTCCTATAATTTGTGTGAAGATAAGAACTCTCCCTGTGGTCTCTTAGTTTAATGTGTTTGTCGTTACAGGTGCTGTTGACCTTCAGGGATGTGGCCATAGAATTCTCTCCGGAGGAGTGGGAGTGCCTGGACCCTGCTCAGAGGGCCTTGTACAGGGACGTGATGGTGGAGAACTACAGGAACCTGGTCTCCCTGGGTGAGGATAGTTTCCCTCCAGAAGTCGGGATCTGCCCCAGTGAGTTTCTTGGGGGCCCCTGCCCTGCTTGACTGTGATTGAAGCTATATTGACTCTGAATTGAAAGCTTCATGTGGTGGCACCTGGACTTTCATCTCCTCCTTTCTTCAGATGGTCTGCCCACTCCTCACTAGATTAGTGTTGCTTTTACCACTTGAGTAATCATAAAACCTTGTAACAAAATTTTAAAATATTGCATTCCCTGGTTTTACTTCCCTGCATTTGAGTCAGTAAATCCAGAAGAGAGCTAGATGCCTATACATGTAAAATACTTCCTAAGCCAGTCAGTGGACGAACTTAGTGTAGACTCTTCCATCCTCTGCTGAACAAAGGCTGGGATTATATTCTGGAAAAGCCCCAACATGTAACTCTCCTTTTTTATGAGCAGGAATCTCTCTGACTGAATGTTATCTCCATTTTGGAGCAAGGGACAGAGCCGAGGGCTGTGGAGGGTGAGGTGAAAATAGAGAAGAAACCAAGTGGGTGGGACTATATCCAAGAGGTGAACACTGGTAACAGCTGAGATGGTCAGAGATGAAACTGCTTCATGAAATATTGTTTGAGAAACGTTCCCCAAAGAGGAGAGGTCTATGAGAAAAGAAAAGTACTTGTGAGCACTCAGAGGAAATCTCCCCCATTACTCTGTTCTGCAGACACGGCATTCCAGCTGATGCAGAGACAATGGCAGTCTTTATCATGACCTGCAACACTGTTACCTGGCTGCTGTGACCTTTTTGGTCCCTTGGCTTTGAGAGGGATGAGAAGGGCTGTTTATAGGGGTCCTCTTTTCCTCTGGTCTCTCCTTCCATACTTGATACCATCTGATTCCGGCTGCTTCATCAGTTCCTCCACAGTCCTGACGCCAGGACCTGTCTGGGTTTCATCCTCAGTTCCTCTGTCCGGGAGATAGGAAAACATTGGCTCCTCCTCCACTGCACTTGGGGCCCCAAGGCTGCATGGGACTGTCTCAAGGCCTCCTAGCCATTTTGTCAGGCCTGCTTTTGCCACACATCAAGAGTATAACCAGGCAATGGGGTGGATCTTCTGAGACGGCTAGTCAGCAGTACTCTACAGATAGTGGACAGAGAGGTTGGCTCTTTGAAACCCAGTCCTACATGGGGAGGACTTGGTTTGGTTTGGTTTTCTCAAAGACCCTGCAAGATCGAACCCATTGCTTTACTTCTGTTATCGTGCTTTATTCTCCGTCCTGCACCCTGCCTAGGCTAGTGATGCAGATAAAATTTGGCTCGTACAGATTCTATATTTTCCTAAGTCTGTGCAATTTTGCTTTTGAAACATGTTTTCCTAGGGTCTGAAATATCCTCTTTTTCTGCTGTGATAACCCACTTTTAGTTGATGGACAACTTCTGGTGAACTTATCCGTGGAGGGGGTCTATTGGGTAACAAAATTTTTGAAGGAGAATACTTTGATTAATGTATTACAGTGCTGTCCTGCCACTTACAGAAGTGCCCAGTGAAGCCCCTGAGTGGAGTGGTCAGCAAGTCCTAGGGAGGCTGAGATAGAAAGTATCAGGAGAGTCTGACTGATGAGTGATTATAGTTCTCTTTCTGCTCTTTGTGGAGTGTCACAGAGTCTCTCAAGGGCCGTGTGGCAATGTTGCTCACATATCTAATGATTATTCCCTTTGAGCCAGCAATCATAGATGTACGAACTTATCCCAAGGAGAACATTGTTGCAACTGTTTATCTGTGAGGCTTTGACCAAACTAGGGTTCGTGCCAAATTGTTTACCCCCTGCATGCCACAGTGTTCTTTCCTCCAAACAGATATGATTGGATGCATATGAGGGAACTTACGAAGTTAAGTGATGCTTCTTTTTTCTTTTTTTTTAATTCCAGGATTTTTAATATACAGTGTTATATTAGTTTCAGGTGTACAATTTTATGCCTCCATTTTTAAATTCTAATTTGTTGTGTTTAAACCACTGCAGTTTTCATCATGTACATTTCCATGAATTAAAAATAAACTAAAAAATTTAATCATTAATTACCTATTTTTGATGACACTCAGAATTCTGTTTTATAGCTCTGGTTTGTGGGCCGCTAGATCAAGGAATAAATATTTTAAAATATATATTACAAGATTTGCTTCTTGAGTGTTGATGGTTATGGCTCAGCAACAGTTTCCCCAAAACCTATTCAAACTCCTGAATTTTGTGAAAAAATTATCTTAGTCCCTTTATTTCTCTTTCACGTGATTTGCCTATTATTAAAGTACCCCTTTCTCAAATTGATTGGATTTGTAAAATTGGGAATATTGGATATCTTTTTTTTTTTTGAAAGATTTAATTATTTTATTTGAAAGAGAGAGAAACAGCATGAGAGTGGAGAGAGTCAGAGGGAGAAGCAGGCTCCCTGCTGAGCCAGGAGCCCGATGCGGGACTCGATCCCAGGACTCCGGGATCATGACCTGAGCCGAAGGCAGTCGCTTAACCAACTGAGCCACCCAGACGCCCGGGAATATTGGATATCTTGAGAAAATATCTTTTTTTTTTTAATTAAATTACTGTGTTCATCCTAGAAATCATTAAATTGATTTGCCATAATTTGTTACATAGGATATCTTGCTTATTCTGTAGTATAATTTAAGTTTTCTAAATATAACTTCTTGGATTTTATTTGAATTTTACTGACTTTTGTATTTTGGTACAAAATCCTTTATTCTAATAATTAATTTCCCTGTGTAGATTCATCAGGTACACATCTTATTATACTAAGCTAATGTTTGACTTCCTCATTGTATTTTTATTTATTTTTTATTATGTTATTTAATCACCATACATTACATCATTAGTTTTTGATGTATTTTATTGGGAAGTTAGCCAGTCTCTTCCACTCCATGTACATCCTCACCACTATTGCTTATAACTCGTTGTGTTTTTCACAAAATTTTTCATGTTCTGGAAATTACATTCTTCAGTTAACACTTGAAGCTGTTTTGATCTTCGTCTTTTAAACTGGGTTCCGTAAAAAGTTCACCTGGTCCTTGTTGACCCTCATGTCAGTACTCTCCTGCTCTCTGACTACAGCCAACTGCTGATGTTGCTGGCCACCTCTGTGCACATCTAACTCCTGCATGGCACTGCCAAAAGTTGCTTCTGCAGTCCCCTGCTACTAACACTGCCCTTTGGTAAAATCCATTCCCCACTGTGTGTCATTAAGTTATTTTCCCTTTGAGGTTGCCTATGTTGTGGTGATAGTTAACAGAGTCAGAATTTATTAATTTTGGATAAGGACATATAACTTCCATTGATCCACAATAATAACTATATATCTGCCTATATATAGTAAGAGCATCCCTCACCTCGGGCGCCTGGGTGGCTCAGATGGTTAAGCGTCTGCCTTCGGCTCAGGTCATGATCCCAGGGTCCTGGGATCGAGTCCTGCATCGGGCTGCCTGCTTCTCCCTCTGCTTCTCTCTCTCTCTCTCTCCCTCTGTCTCTCATGAATAAATAAATAAAATCTTAAAAAAATAAAATAAAAAATAAAGAGCATCCCTCACCTCATGTCTCCTTATGCCAGCAGTTGTGTGAAGAGATCCAAATATATGAGTTCAGATAATTAGAGGAGGCTGCAAAAGAAGCTCTATGATTATTTTTTAAAGATTTATTTATTTGAGAGAGAGAGGAAGAGGAAGAGCATGAGCAGGAGGGGCAGAGGGAGAGGGAGACTATCAAGCAGACTCTGCACTGAGCATGGAGCCCACCGTGGAGCTCAATCCCAGGACCCTGATACCATGACTTGAGCTGAAACCAAGAGTTGGATGCTTAACCAGCTGTGCCACCCAGGCACCCCAAGAAGCACTATGATTTTTATATAACAAACAAGCACACTTAGCCTCAAAAAGGTTAGCATGCCAAATTGGTAAATTTATATTTATAAAACATGTAATTAATAATTTGGTTGGTATGTTATTTCTTTTTAGCTAATCTATCCACATCTCCCCCAAAGTTCAGACCTTGACAAAACCTGCTACCTTTGTTTCCCTCCAGCAAGCTCTTTGTCCTCCCCACCGGGGATTCATCATCTTGCATCCATGTCACTCTCCATTGCTGAATTCTTGACAGACTTTAATGGCATCTGTATGTGTATGTAGAGTGAGTTCATCCATTCTCCCCTTGATGGCCATGTCCAGACTTTGGTTGCCTTTTAAGAACACTTTAAACATGTCTCATGGAATATATATGTAGGACTCTCTTGAGTAAATGCTTATAAATAGAAAGCCAGGGATATCCCATTTGAGAAATTTCAGGGAAGGTATTAGAATAGAGGTAAACCTGTATTCGTTCCACTGTATCATGGTAATTGCCTTCCTCATATCTTCCATTCTCTCCTGTCCCCCCACACCCAGAGTACATTTCCCACAGAATGGGTCAATATTGTGCCACTTGCTAAATCAGTTCATGTCTTCTTCTAAGATAAAGAATTTTACTGTCCTAGCGCAATTGTATTCCCATAAATTTGCAAGCACAGGCTCTGTTCTTCCACCTTCCCCCAGATTGTTCATTGATCTGGATGAAGCACACTGTTTCTTCCTTAGCATATTAATTTTGAGCCCTTGGACACCCAAGTCTCCTCAGCAGCCCCTGTCCTTACCCCTTCTGCATTTTTTAAAGATCCCTACTCTTCCAGAGGACAGCTAGTTCAGGATAGCACCATGCCTAGTCACTGTCTAAATCAACACATTCAGGAAGTGATGACTCAGATGCTCTTATCCAGGTGGGATGAGTCAGTAACGATATTAGGAACACAACTCAATTCCTGTAGTTTTCTTGAAGCATTTCCCTGTATGCTGGTGAGGTTTGCTATGACCTTTACTCACTTCCTGAGTGGGCAGTAATGTTTAGTGCTCAAGAACATGTGGTCTGGGCCTGCAGGCCCAGGTTCAAATTTTGGCTTTCACATTTTTTTCTGTGTGAATTAGTGTTGGGTACATAAACA